TTGCCCTTCACCAAAAGCTGAATTTTGTATTCATGCACAAACTTCAGTATAGTTCTGTACTGGCATACAAAATTTCACCTGGTTGTGTAGCTGGCAAACCACCATAAAAGGGATTTTCCTTGAGCTGGACTGAAAGTTGTGTTCAGCAGTCAAATGACACTGAAATGACTTTTCAATGTTACTGTCGGGGCAGATCTTGCATTTAAAAACATTTATGTGTAGGAAAAAGCATAAAACCCTCATACAATCTCCACATGTGACACAAAGTTTTATAGCCTGTACATAATGTTAGGAAAACATGATTGCTACCACATGTGCATACAAAATATACATGAAAGTGTTCATTGTGCATAATTAATAAAATATTGCAAGAGTGTGAATGGTTATTTACTACATTTCTAAAGTGCCTGTTAGCCAAAGTTCTCTGGGTGGTTCACATCAAAGCTTAAAACCATAAAATACAATAAAATAGAAAACATGTTCTAGAAACCATAGGGTAAAGCTAAATAAAATTGAAGCAATAAGATAAAAGCTTGCAGCAGTGCAAATCACATGAAAAGCACATGGAGAAATTTGGTAGCACCGCTGTACGAATGAATCAACTTTATAAAACTTTACTTCATACAGAAGTGTGGTGTCTGGGTGAAAAAGAAACTGAACCATGATATTTGGTCCCCAAACCAACTCCATGTTATCTCATAAATGAAGATTTTAAAATTCAGATGATGTCAAGACAGTAGCAAAAGCTCTGTGTGGTTCACTATCACACTTCTACAGCCATTATTACTGGTTTTATTCTCTGATATACAATGGAAGGATATGATGCAGAGAGACATGTTCACAAGGTCTGAAGCTGTGATAAGCTGAGAGAGAGAGAGAGAGAGATTAAAGCTTTAGTCATTACCTGAACACATGGATAATTATATAGGCCCTTAATCTGAAAAGTAAATGTTCTAATTAAATCATATATGAAAGATATAAAAAATCAAGATTAATCTTTAAACATTGATACTGGTTAATGAGGATTTAATTATATGGTGTAATTTGGTGTACATTGGATTATAGTTAATGTATGTAATGTGTTATTAAAGATTCTCTAATCATAAACAGAAATTGCCCATTTAAACTGGGGTGCTCTGAAAGATACTTGATGCATTTAAACAAAAGTTGTGCTTATTTATTATTGAGACTGATGTCATTGTAAAGTGTGTACGTGAGAAAAAGCATCTTGTGTTTTGGTGTTTGTCTACAGTAATTACAATGGTTTTTTATCAATCTTTCCAACTCAAGTGTGTAACTCTTGGTTGTCCTAATGTGCCTGGATAGAGACAGGAAAATGCATTGTATTTATTGCCCTGGATCTTTTAAGCTTTCAAGACCATTAACCATCGTATACTTGATGTTATTCAAGTACTCTTGAATGTTTGCCATGAATGTTATTGGGGACTCTATTATTCAATGGCTCCAGACAATTCTGGAAGATAAATATCAAAATATGGTACTGAGGAATGCGGCTACACCTCCTAGCCTTTAGATGCATGACACCACAAAGAAACATAATATTTTTTTTAATCTGTAGCAAGAGATCATTCTGAGATTCTGGGCTTGGTGACATTGGAATGTTGACAATGTCTCTCTTTTCCATCTAATTCTAGGGAAGTGGTGGGAATTCTTTAAAATTGTCTTACGGGCCTAACTAAATGTTTGGTAAAACCCACACAGGAAAGCTATGTGTGTTGGCTTTCCCTATACTTCAGTGAGTATTCAAGGTTCTGATTTGGAAAGGAACAGCAATGTTCCATAATTGTTGTCATGTTCTAACTCATGTCTAAGATGATAACCTATCTGAATATCTAGCATTATATTACAATTCTGTTACATTATGGAAGTAAAGTTTCATACCCTTCTACGACTTAAGAATGATACATTACTCCTGTTGAATGAAAGTGAATGAAGTGTCAGCATTAAGTTCTATTGAAATTACAGAGGCAAATTATGGATACAATGTGTTTAGGATTACTATACCAACAAAAATATTATAGGCGCGCGCGCGCGCTCTCTCTCGCTCTCTCTCTCTCTCTCTCTCTCTCTCTCTGTGAGTTTGAGTGTAAGAGAGAGCTATTAATATGTATGTGAAATGTAGTTATGAGCTGTCAAGTCATCTCCAACTTATGACGAGCCTATGAATGAAAGCCCTCCAAAATGTCCTGCCCATGAAAGCTCCATTCAACTCTTCCAAGTTCAAGAGTGTAGCTTCTTTTATGGATTCCATTCATCCCATATTTGGTCTTTCTATTGACTTCTGCCTTTGGTTTTCCTAACACGATCGTCTCCTACAATGATTATTGCCTTCTCATGATGTGTTCAAAGTTTGACAGCCTCGGTTTTATCACTTTGGCTTCAAAGGAAAGCTCTGGCTTGATTTGATCTGGGACCCACTTGTTTGTCTTTCTGTCGGTTCAGGGTGTTTGCAAAGCACTCCTCCAGCACCATGTTTTGAATGCATCAATATTCTTTCTTCCTATTCACTTTCTTCACTTTCACACCCATCGATTCTGAATACAGTAGTTGGGATGAACTTGACCCTGGTCTTCATTAAAAAAAACCTCCTTGCACTTGATAATCTTTTCTAGTTCCTTCACTGCTGCCTTCTACATTTCACTCTTCTTTGAATTTCTTGCTTGCATTCTCCCCTTGAATTGAAGACTGAGATGAGGTATGTGAAATCTTTCATAATTCCAATTTCTTCATTATTAACAATAAAGTTCTATAATTCTTCTGTGAGCGTTATTTTTGTTTGCTTAATATTCAGCTGAAGTCCTGCTTCTGTACATTCTTCTTTCATTTTCAACAGGAGTCACTTTGTGCCAGTAGTACAATATCATCTGCATATTTTAAATTCCATTCATTTTCACTTCTTCCTCTTATTCTAATCTAGCTTTCCTTATGATATGTTCTACATACAGACTAAACATATAGATAGATGGGAAACCAATGGGAAACCATTCTGTTTCTTTATATTCTGTCGTAACTGTAGCTTCTTGTCTGTGACACAAGTTATGCATCAGGCCAATCAAGCACTGAGGCAAACCCATTTCTTTCAGGACCATCATAGTTTCTCATGATCCACACAGTCAAAGGCTTTGCTATAGCCTATAAAGCATAATTTGGTCATTTTCTTTAAATTCCTGACCAAATTATCCTGCAACATTTGATTCTGCTTTGTTTCCTACTTTTGTATTCCAGTCACCTAGGATCAATAGCATGCCTTGTTTTGGTGTGTTATCAATTTCCTATTGAACACCTGCATAAAAGGTTTTGCTATTTTCTTCTTCAGCATCTGTTATTGGAGTGTAGACTTGAGTGATGGTTATGCTTAGGTTTTCCACTAAAATCAGATTGATCTAATTCCTAGCAGTTGCGTTAGGAGGCTCATGTTCCAAATGTGTCTTTCATGAACCAAAGGCTGTGCTTACCCGATGTCTTCTCCCCAGGGGGAAAAAGTGTGGAACCAGGTAAGGCAGAAACCAAAAGCTATCAGAGGTGCCCCCAACCTTTGCATTTAAAAAAATATGTCTGCTCGCCTACTGAGCTATCATAGTAAAACTGTTCCTAGGTTCTTTAAATTTGGGTTTGCTTTTATTCTGTTTCTAGGATAGTTTTTCAAAGCACTTGTGACTACTTCTATAAGAACAAAATTAAGGGAAGAGGTGGACTTTTCTTGAATCAGGTACAAATAGTAATACCTGTAGAAAGGACACAGAGTTGTGGAGGGCACCTGAGATCTTCTTCAATCAATCTCTGCTTACAGACATTAAAAGGTTGTGTTCACATGATTTCAAAATTAATGTATATGTACATGTTCTCATACACCCTAAAATCTGACTTTTTTTGACTGATACTGGGCTGCATGCTTGTTTCACATCCCTGTAGATAGGTATGTTGCTCAATACTTATTCCATGTAATGGCAAACTGTTAAATGTTCACTTTGAATAATGCAAAATACATACATGATTTTTTAAAATGTTCCGCTCATATAAACTATAAGATAGCATCCTATTACATTTTTATATTACTGGGCTTACATTTTCAAGATGAAAATGGAACATGCGTACCACCAAAATGAAATACTTAAGGCACAATTCTATGCACTTTTAGAGAGAGAAAAGTCCTCTAACTCCTAGCTTGCCCCAGCCTGTATATCTAAACTTGCAAAGGACTGTTTCTTCAATTGTTTGTATTGTTGTTTTCTTTTTATTATCCATCATTTAAATGCTTCTCTGCAACCTTTAATCTCATATAAATCTAATGTCTGAGTACATACTTAGCCTAGCTAGTGGCTTGCTGATTGTAGTTGGCTGCATATTAGCTACAGTGTAAGGCCAAACCATTTGTCATACTAACATGTTTGAGGTGGTACAAGGGTTAGGATAAAAAACAAGATTAACCAATATGACTGGAACAACATTACTGAAGCTGCTGCTTCAAATAGAATAGCTGTTAAAAATACATACTGGTTCACCCATGGATTAACTTGAGTCATAATCCCCTAACACTCTGTGCTATAAAGCCTTGTGCTACAAAGTACACTTCAACCAGATAGTGCCACAAATAGTTTCTGTACAAAGGGGTTCGTACAGTGTCCGTTCTTGTCTACTGTTCGTGCTCAGCACTAAGAGTGCACTCACAGAGTTCAGTGGTAGTCATATGTGCACAGTTTTCTAGTCCTGAAGCAAATCCCAAATGCTTCCTATAAATGTCAGTATTTATAATTAACATGGATCCAATATTTACACACACTAAAGCCATGCTTATCTGGACTCACACATGCTCCAATTTGCATAAAGCACTGCTGTGAATAAAGCAAAATACACGGTGTTATGACAGTGTCTATAATTCCAATCTAATGAAAATTGCATGCTGACATGAACCTACATACAAATGTGCTTTTTCAAAAAGCAGTGTAGAAACAAGCAACAGAGACACTGAAAACAGCGTTTCAGAAATCATCCAGAACTGGATAAATAAAGTTGTCTTTGAACAGGTAGTAGGCCAAACACTGTCCACCACAAATCATTGAAATTAGACCAGAACCTGTAAAGAAATAAAACAATATCTCGCATTAGCATTAGCAGTGGCTTGCAAGAATTTAAACAGAACAGCTTTGCTTCATTTGAGAGCTGTGAAACTCATTTGATTTTGTTTTGGTTTTTGAATTCCCTGCTTGTTATGGCTTCCCCAGCTTTCCTTTTCAGGATCCAGAAGCAGAAATATGGTATGACATATTTGACATATGGTATAACCTTATTTTGTTGCCCCTTATTCCGCAGCTGAATCTTGCCAGTAGAAAGATATACACATGCAGAATCAATTACAAAGACTACACTAGAATCTTGAGAGAGAGAAAAGGGACCCTCAGAACTATTTGCAGCATGTCCATGCTATACATTTCTATTGATTTTACAATGTGTTTTGTCTTCCCAGGGAAGAACAGGAATTGCAGTGCTGGAGCTTAAGGTTTGAGATAGGATGTAGAGATTTCCAAAAGGGAATTCTGAGCACCTTTACTAAACTGCAGCTTCCATCAATGTTATGGGTGAAGTCATCATTGTTAAACTGGCATAGAATCAACACAAGTGTTTAGTGTAGAACCAAGCATAGGCAGCCCACTTCCAGTTATTTTGTATGATCAGTTTCAATAAAAATGTGGAGTATTTGTGCCTATCTATATGAGTATTACGAGCAGTGATAGGAGAGCATCTGTTCCCACTGTAGGCCTGATGAGGTTCAGCTTCCCAATGCCTGCTATTTGTATTGCAAGAAAAACCGCCATTGCACTGAATGGGTACTTTCCTTCCCACGCAAATAGTAGGCATAACAGACATGACCCAGAATGAAACCACAGTTGAGTAATGGGTTAAACTCTTCTGTTTCTCTACACCAGGATCTCACTTCAGACCAGGGGCCCTACTTGATAGAGTTGTTTAAGTAATTGAATTGTCCGGTTCCTACTTGCATGGCTGGTGACATATCTAGTGAGGCTAAGAAGCCACACTAAACAACCAACTTACTACTGAGAAAATGTGGGCTGTTGGGTCCATGGATGTGAGTGTGACTTCTGAGGGAGCAGCCACGCTCGAGATTGGGGCTAGCCTAGGCGTATGTTATAGATGGAGAGACACTGAAGAAGTACCAGTATTACAGCTCTACCCTTTCTGATAATAAAATCTCAGTGATTTATATCATACCTAAAGCTGCCCACCAGTGCAACATCAGGGGGAATTCAGCCATAACTGCAAAACAGAATGATGCATTTTAGGATTAGTACCAAGATGAAAAACAAAACAAAACAAGATCACAATAAAATACCAAATGATGTATTAAGATAGAATATCAAAAGAATACATTTCAAGACAATGTGCCCACATATTATTATCATAGCATTATTGTTTTCATGGCAGTACAGATAAAATAACAATTCTTTAAAATAGTTCCAGGGCAGGGATGAGGCTCATGGACCATCCAGTTATTGGAGTAAAACTCCTGTCATCCCTCACCATTGCCTGGGCTGATTGGTTGATTATAGCTACAGCCTAGCATGGAGTATTATCCCTAGGGAAATGCGTACACACATGCATGCATGTGCACATGCATATACAGTCTAGTTCAACTGGGAGAGTAGCACATGAGGAAGCAATCAGCTACACGTAGAATCAAGTGTACAGTCAGGTGCTGTGCATATGATACTTTCTCTGAAGCAGCTGTTGGGGATTGTGCACATAGATCCCCCTTTTTAAGACATTTACTTGTGTGTATATGGTAGTACATGAGAGGGCAAGATGCACAGGAGAAGACAATAATGTTAGGGAAAGTTGACGGTAAGAAAAGGAAAACCAAACATGAGATGGAACAATTCCATAACAGAAGCCACAGCCTTGAGTTTATAAGAGCTAAGCAGGGCTGTGAAGGATAAGACATTCTGGAGGGCATTCATTCATATCATCACCCTAAGCCAGAGATGGCTTCACAGCACATTACAACAACACCTGCCCTGAAAACATGGAGAATCTGATTCTGAGATCTCTAGCATGTAAACTAGCCCTCAATACAGAAAGAAATGTTTGAACCCACTCATCATATAATATTTATGGAACAACCTAGAGAATTTCTTCCATTAATAGGTCCAAAGAGGAGGATGGCTTCTACCTGGGTCCTTTCTAGTCCAATCTCCTACCTTTCCATCTAGTGGAACAAGCAGGCATGCTTTGGATCCTGATACAGGCCCAGGAGTGGGGAGGCATGGGATTATTTATTACATTGTACTCCACTGTCCTTTCAAGGAGCTCGTGATTTCCCCATCTCCACAGGAATTCTGTTGAAATTCTGTGATTAGGTCCCCAACATAGTGTCTTCCAGCCTTAATTCTGACCTTGAGCCCTGTTGCCCTGGGCTGATAGACATTAAAATCCAAAGCATTTTTAGGGAGCCGGACTGGCAAAGATTTCCCAGTGAATAGTCACTCACAGCTGATTAGCTGTGAAAGTCAGGGGCAGATTATATGACCTAACAACCTTTCTAACTCACAAATGGTCTCCACAGATGCCAACTTTCTTTTTTATAGTTTTTGTTCCTGCACCTTGAACAGCAACCTAGTGTTCAGAAATAAAACAGGTGAAGGTTACTAGCAAAGAAATATTGGCAGGTTGGACTACTGTTCAAAGCACAGGACCAATTGAAAACTGACAGCCCCAATAGTCCTGAAAATACAGGAATATTGCTTCTACAAATTGGTTTCAAAAATTAACAGTACTTTTTCATGAGCTATATTTATTGAACAGTATACATACCAGCTGAGGTTATTGTGATGTGGATGACTGTAACAGTTATAGCATAATCCCAAACCCATTCTTCTACAATTAAGACAAAGAGCAGTCCAGAGATGAAATAGGTTATCTCCAATGACACTAGAAGAACTAGAAACACAAAATAGGTGATGACAAGATGAGAGCAGGGCTACAGAACATCAGAAGTGGGGGCTACATCCCAGCTGCATATGAACCAAATCCTGCCTTGCAGGGTTTTCCCAGCCAGAAATTGCTTCAAGAGTTCTTAACTTTTGCGTAGCTTTCCCCCCATTCTAAAGGGTTAGGAAATGTCTTTCCAAAGGCTTAGCTACTGCAAATAAAAGCTTTAAAATAAAATATACTGGTATTTGGAGTATTTTGGCCCTGCCACTTTTGGTTTTGACCCAGCCACCATTAGGATGCTGTCCCGAATTGCTTTTCCAAAATGGAATACACCCCTCAAGGGAATCTTTTTAGTCCCAAGGTTGCTAAATTATCAAACTCATGCTAAAGGCATAGCGGCATACTTTATCATGACTTATCAATATCTGTGATCAATATTGCTATTAATGATAAAAGAGGGCAGTTCTAGGGGAAGACACATTTGCCTTGCAGCTCAATTTGCATGTATGTTTTCTTAGGACAACTAGGCAGAACTTTGACTGCCTCGTACAATTAGGACCAGTTTTTATCAGCTTCCCATATGCTGATTTGGAAGCAGAGCTACATGGCAATTCTAGTTTGGATTCCTCTGATGATCCTCCTAGAGCCTTGTGCCATGCCATGCCACTCAGCTATGTTCACTCCAGCACCTGGGAAAATGGTAAATACAATCAATACGGTCATCTGTGTTTTCAAACAAAAAATTTGGGGGATTCTCCTTTTCAGGAAACGATGCTATAATGGGGGAATGAGAAATCTTTGTGCCAGTACAACATCTTGAATCTTGTCTGGATGATATAACTGTCAATGGAAACAGAAAGATACAAATTCTTGTGCATATACTGTATTTCATCAAAACACCATTATTAAGTTTTGAAGTACTTATTTAAATAAATGTAGCAGACTTCCATGCTACCACTCCACAGAAGTATTTACTCTAGTCCCCTGCCTGCCATGGTCAAAATCCCATTATATGCTAAATTAAAGTCGTTTATGGGTACTTATTGATGCTTAGACAGCAGTAACCTCATGAAGGAAATGAACTTAAATGTTGATAGAGTTAAATGTTGCCATGAGCAGTTGGTTCTCTGCTGAGAGCAGAATACAATCCACCTTATCCTCCAAGTGCTGATCCTTCAGCCAAAATCAATAGCAAACATCCACTAGCTTAAAGTAAAATCAGGTTTTGGGGCGTTAATAGCACCCTAGTCTTTTACTACCTTCTCTCAGTCAAGACTATCTTCTGCAAACAGGAAGTCTATAGAAATGAAAGCAATATTACTTTCATTTGTCTAAGTTATTAATTAAGAATTGTATCTCTTAATTTATCCCTTAATTTAGCCCTCAGACCTCCAACAGCTGCTCTGGTCATTACTGTAATTAATCTGCTGCTGTCCAACAGATAAGTCGGGGTGTACCAGCTCTCTTTACCTTCACCAGCAATCAGGGAACACTGGAGACAGGGAGAATGGAAGGTCACAATACTTGTACTAGTAATTCCTCCTTTTCTCCATCCATCCCCTGAATTAGAAAACCCTTCCAGGCCATCCTATTCATACTAATCCTAAGATTCAGCACAGATGGTACTGCAGTTGGCTCACATGACTGATCTGTTTGCACCAGGTATGAGCATCAAACTAATGTAGTTTGACTTTTGCGAATAGGAAAATTGTAGCTCACCAAATAGTAGCGGATAAATCAGCAAATGTTGGTGGAAGGCAAAACAAGACATTGATCTAGTTCACAAGACACAAGGTTTGTTACTAAGCCCTGGTGACTTGCAAATCTCTCTTGCTCCTGCCAGTTGAGTGCTGGCTGATTCCCCAAATTACCATTACCAAGTGCAGATTGTTATGATTTGCAGAGCTGAAGAGGGTGAGCGGCTGAGAAGGTTAACAAACCACTCAGCAACCCTGCAGCAGAATGTGTGTGAGTTCTGAGTAGTTTGTTAACCTTCCAAGCTGCTCACTATGGATTTGGGCACTATGATAACTTGTGCCTGCCTAGAGTAAATAGGGAACTAAACCAGCACATGTGAGGGTGGTTAGCAAGATACCATGGCTTATTAGTCCCCCTTGTGTTATATGAACCCAGTCATTGTGAGGAATGCATACATGCTGCCCATTATCCATCTGCTTTGGAGCAACTATAGGAAGACATGACATCATGTCAACAGAGACATGACACCAGTACACAATACTTCATCGCTCTTGCTCCACTTCACTAGCTATCATTGAGAAATGTGGGGCAACCTTAGTAATCAATGATTATACTGCTATTAATACTCATTGCTAGGGAGATCCATGGATCAGATACAGTGGTAGGGCTGCTCTTCCTCATGATATCTAGCTTGGCCTTGGAGGTCAATATAAGCACATTTAAATCAGCCCATTTCATCACAGAGAACTGGAGTGCTGGCCACTTGCCAGTGGGATGGAAACTTCTGGCAGAATGGATTTTCCTGCTAAATAGATCTGAAGGGGATGTAGGAAGTAGCACAGCATGTGAAGGTCTTCCTATGCGAGTGAAAGTCTGCTCACATGACATTGAATTTAACTCATGGTCCCCAACCCTAAATATCTGAAATCAGGACTTCTAGCCAAAATTTTTTTTGCATGACTTAAAACGGTATTGCTCAACCTGGTACCCTCCAGTTGTGTTAGACTGAAAACTCCACCAGTGGTCACACTGGATGATCCTGAACATAAGGATCATCCATAACATAAAATAACAGTGGCTGTGATTTCCTCCTGATTTCTGAGGTTTCTTGGTTGAATTACAATATTGTTCAGCTGGGGCTCTACAATATAAAAGGTTTTTAAACAGTGAATGCTGACATTCCCATAGTTTATATGTAATCACCACCATCCTCAGTTTGTTGTCAGCCCTGTTTGATGATAACTAGACTGGAAAAGCCCAAGCATGAGGAATGTGGGCAAGGGGTCAGGAGCTGGGACAGGTCAGACAGGGTCCATAGTGGGAAGGAAAAACATCTACTAAGCTACTCAGAAGCAGTGGGAAGGCAAGAGAAGTTGCCTCAGCAAGGAGAGGAAAGATTGTCACTGTTTATAAACTAAGCCGGCACATGCATGATTCTGATATTTCCTTTGTAAAAATAAAGTTGTTTTATTTTACTGTTAACCCTTAGCATATCAATGAGTGAGTAAGGCAGAAATATAACACATCTTTGAAAGCAGAAAGAAGACATTATTACATTGTCTTATATCCTATTTTTTTTTTTCCTTTTGTGAGGATTACTAGGTGGCTTACATAGTTCTCCAGTCCATTTATTCTGGGAGGGAGGTTAGAGTGAGTGATGGGCCCAAAATCACCAGTGAGCTTTGTGGCCAAATGGGGACCAGAACCTGCATCTTCCAGGTCCCCAGTCCAACACTCTAGCCACCACACCAGCTGTGTTTAAGCCATTGCCCAATCCTACCCGTGCCTGTTGGGGCCAAAGGCTTGCGAGGAGAGTGGAATGGCCAGGTTACTGCTGGAGTGGAACTGGGAAGTAAAGCCTGAGTGAAAGAGGCTGGGTTTCTTCCATGAATCCCAGGTGAGAAGCAAGCGGGATACCTGAGGGGAGCTTGGGTGCAGGGCCTGGCCTGCAAGGACCACAGCCTGAGCAAGGCAGCTGTGTACACAAAAAAGCCAAGTGGCCAAAGCACCTGACAAACATGCCATTGCAGGTGTGTGGGGCAGGATGGGTTTCACCATGTAAAGTGGGGCTAGCAATTGATAAGACAGTTGTGTTTGGGATTTCTGTCACAACGCCTTATACTGAATCACATCACTAGCCCATTTAGGCCAGTATTGTTGACACTGACTGACGGCAATTCTCAAGAGTTTCTGGCAGGAATTTTTCCCTGGAGATAACAGGAATTGAATCAAGATCTTTTGCATGCAAAACATGTGCTCTACCACTGAGCTATGGCCCTGCTTACAGATACTGCAGCTTACAGACTTTTTATCACCATATATAGCACATAGCTTTAAAAGGGGGCTTGAGAGGAAACACAGGGGTCTTAGAAACAGGTGATGGCAGCAAAATAGCCTTATGAAGCCATCTATAAACATTGATCTGTGAAAAGACACAGTGTCTAAACCTAGATCAAATTAAGGAGATTGCGATGTAATGTATATATAATAAGTTATTCCCATTGCCTATATTGTCCCACTGACCACAAGTACTTATCTCCAGATAATATTACTGAAATGTCATTTGCATCTAAAAGCAAATCTGTTTCAGATCTCCTCACAAGGTTGTTTAAAAAATTACATATTTTTTAAATATGGTCCTCCTGGACCTCTCAGCGGCTTTCGATACCATCGACCATGGTATCCTTCTGGATAGGCTGGCAGGATTGGGAGTAGGAGGCACTGCTTGGCAGTGGTTCTGCTCCTACCTCGACAGCTGATTCCAGAAGGTGGTGCTGGGGAACTTTGGCTCTGCGTCATGGCAACTCTGCCATGGAGTACCACAGGGCTCCATCTTGTCCCCCTTGCTATTCAATGCCTACATGAAATCGCTGGGAGAGGTCATCAGGAGGTTTGGGCTGCAGAGTCATCAGTATGCTGATGACACCCAGCTCTACCTCTCTTTTTCAACTAATCCAGGTGAGGCAGTGGCTGTCCTGAACCGGTGCCTGGCTGAGGTAATGGGCTGGATGAGGGCCAATAAACTGAAACTGAATCCAGACAAGATGGAAGTCCTGTTGGTGGGTGGATCGAGCTCCTGGGCAGGTGGCCTGGACCTTGCCCTGGATGGGGTTGCACTCCCTCTAAAGGACAGGGTCCGCAGTTTGGAGTGCTCCTTGACCCAGAGCTGTCCTTAGAAGCTCAAGTGACTGCAGTAGCGAGGAGCGCTTTCCTTCAGCTTCGGCTAATCTATCAGCTGCGCCCCTACCTGGAGGAAGACTGCCTAATGACAGTGACACATGCACTGGTTACTCCCCGGTTGGATTTCTGTAATGCGCTGTATGTGGGGCTGCCCCTGAAGACAGTCCAGATACTTCAGATGGTGCAAAAAAAAAGCAACCAGGTTGCTGATGGGGACTGGGTGTTATTCTCACATAACCCCAGTCCTCTATCAGCTCCATTGGCTTCCTATCGAAGTCCGGGCTCAATTCAAGGTGCTTGTTATCACCTAAAAAGCCCTAAATGGCTTGGGACCTGGATACCTGAAAGAACGCCTTCTTCCATATTTGCCCAGCAGAGGCTCTCCTCCAGGAACCCTCCGTGAAAGACATTAGGAGGCAAAGTACCTGGAGGAGGGCTTTCTCTGCGGTGGCGCCCCATCTATGGAATGCGCTCCCCAGAGAGGTCCACCTGGCGCCGTCGTTATTTGTTTTTCGGCGCCAGGTTATGACCTTTTTATTCCAGCGGTATTTTACTAAGTTTTAATATTGTTTTTTCTATGTTTTTAATTGCAGCCAGCTTGGGTTGAGAATTTTATTTATGTTATTTATGTTATTACATTGGAAGCCGTCCTGAGACTTTTTTACGATTAGAACGGCATATAAATATTTTAAATAAATAAATAAATATTTCATTTGTAAATATTTAGTTTCCTTTTGAGAGTAAGATTATAATCCTACTTTGTTCTGGTCCAGAACAGGAACCATGATAGAATCACATATTATAAAGTGGCAACTCAACAGGGATCCAGAGCTAATGGCACCTCTATTTTAGGCAATTGCTTCCATTTGTCAAACTGCAGTGGATTTAACAGCTCACTAAAATACAGCAGATCAAATATACAGAAATACCATAGAGCCTATACTCAGATGAAGCTATCTGGAATAAAATATTTTTACTCTAGGAAAAAGCTGAGGGCCAAATTAGACTGTACACTAAAGTTGCATCCAGGGATCTTCTTACATCTTCCTTGGCTAAATACAACCACAAGGAATGTGGAAATTAGTTTTCGATCATGGTGCCGGAGAACAGTGAGGTTAAGTCTTTGCTATTTCCCCAATGTAAGGGCTTCTCTACATGAGGTACGAGTATGTAGTGTGTACTTTACTCAACAATTGTAATTTACATATTACGAGTATCACAATTCCAATATGCCACAGTGCTACCTTATAGTTGTATAAAGGAACATATGGAAAGGCAGAGAAAGAAAAAGAAAAATATAGGAAAAAACACATAAAGAACTCATTCTTAATGCCACAGAAAATCTAGAAGCAAACATCTTAGTAAAGTGGCAAGTTAAATGCAGAGAAGCCGTCATGCAGAGAAGCCCTAAATCAATTCCTTGAAACTGTTATTAGTCAGGAGAAGTGAATGAGAAAGTTACCAAGTTTTGGGGAATGGGAGTTTAAGTAGGGTAATGTCACAGGAGAAAGAGGCAATTTCTCTTTGCCCTAGCACCACAGTCACAATTCAGATTGGTCACCCCATTCCATGGTTGCTTTTAAACAAAGGAAAAGGTCTGTGACCTGGTTTGCCAGTAATGAGAAGCCAGATTATAGGTTGATGTTGATTCTTGGGTTGCCATTGAATTGTGGGTTGTTATTATGTGTGAACACTACACTGTGGTTTAATTATGAATTGTTAACCTCAAAGCACCCAGAATTCTATGGTGTGAGATGGATGGTGCATCTATTTAAATATTGGTTAAATATGCTCAAAAAGGAAAATTAATGGCATTTTGGTCAATAGAAGAGAAGACAGACAGGTTTGGTAGTGCCAAGTTGGAAGGGACCCTGAGCAGGAGGGCCTGTGGGCCCTGCCATGCCATCCTGATCAGCCCAAGATCAGAGACAGGCATAGGTAACAATGGGTTATGGCGTCAGATGGTGGGCAACATTGAAGGCAGGCAGGCAGGCAGGACAACTGAAGGAAGTAGCAGCACAGCTCCAATATCCCATCAGCCCCATGCTGAGGAATGTCAGGTGAGGTTGTTGCCACCATCATTATTCCCAACAGCTCTGGGCTTGTAGACTTCAGAGGAACTCAGGGCAATGAAAAAGGCATTGGCCACATGTTTTGGCACTAGTCTGACTATCCATACACAGCCAGCCTGAAGACGGAATACCATTGTGTCCTGCAACAAGCACCATTTTCTTGGTAGAAAGGCAGGGTACAAATAAAAAAGGAAGAAAGAACTGAAGCAGTCTGCTAATTCATCAGCAGAGCTGGTTGCTGTTAGAAACATGGCATCCAAGCTTAAATACTTATAATGTTGGATATTTGTTAGCACTGGTGTAAAATGTAAGATTGACTCTGCTGGACTAATTAACATATTCACCAATGAATACAATCACCATAACTGAGGGCTAAACTAGATGCTACATTAAATCTTACTTTATATCTGGTTCAGTCTGGTATAGGAGATGTTATACCTTCTAATGTATGCACTCTGCAAATTCATTTTTCCCACATATTTGTGGATTGGACCCCTGTGCACATAGGGCTTCCTTCCATTTGGCTTTTAACCCATCCTCCCCTGCTCCCCGATGTAGAGATCGCTATTTCTGAATTCTTTGTAAAAGTAAGATTGGCTCCTTTACATGCCCCCTGCTCCATTCCAGGATTTTTCTTTCGTTGCCTTTCTGTATGTTCCATTGCAATTATCTTGTAACATTTTACAGTGTGATAGCCCGTTAATAGTCCATTATCCTTATTATAAAAAAAGGCATGGAAATGTTCAGAAAGCACAAGTGGGTGGGTGGGGGAGAATAATATGTAAAGCACCTGCAAGCAACTGTGGGTGAAGATCCTTAAGAAGACAAATGCTTCATATAAAGTAGCCCTTATTCTAGAGTAAATAAAATGCTAAGCTCACACAGATGTTATACATTTAACAGTTTAGCCTAGTGTAGTTTAGCCCTTAGAGAGATGCTGAATGATTGAGGGCACTCAGAAACATTCAACCCCCCCATCCTTGCAGCATTTTCTTGAATCTGCCAGAATTTCAAAATAACAGAGGACATTGTTAGAGGTGGTGTGAGGAGGTGGAGGGAGTCAAAGGCTCAGCTGAATATATGATGTTAGCAGCACCGTTTTCTCCTCGTTGCCACAGTGACTACTCTGGGGAGCTGCTTAAATAGCTGCAGCCCTGTATCCACAATTAGAAATTGCTTGGACCATCAGAAATTTTATAAGCCATGGGGGTTGGATCTGATTGTGGCTGACAACAGTGAACTTCCTCACCCTCTCCTTCCCGCAGGATCCTCTCTAATCCCCAGATGGGCTACACATGGAATCAGGATAAACGGGTTGACCTGTGAAAGCTTAGAACTTCAAAACTTGGATGGAAAGACCTTCCGTAAATGGAAGGTAGTTTCTGGATTGAGCCTCATGAGGTTATTTTCTAAAGGTTATCATTGTGGGGCTGCACAAAATAGCCAAATTAAGAAACTGTGCTGATCATGATGAGAAATTGATTCTCTGGACGAATGAAATAAAGGTGATTTGCAGAGAATAAAAGCATGTTGTGCCATGCTGCTGAGGCTGTTCCACTTCAGAATGCAAGTGGAGAAGAGGTCTTATGCCCTGGGCTGATGAGAGATGCCCCACATACACTAACTGGCAGGAAGAAGGATAGTCTGGATTCTCATGTCTAACACAACTGTCCTGGGCAGAGTTTTTGACATGAGGCCATGTTCATGCTCCTGTGCCCACCTACACCTTTTAAGTGGTACCAGAAATAGAGGGCTGTACCTTGCAGGCCAAGATATTTTCTGCTCAAGGCAAAGAAGCCAGCCCTACTCCCCGGTCCATTCCATATTTACAAGCTGAGCACATCAGCTTTTGGCTCTTAGTTCCAGTCTGGTGATGGCACAGTGCGTTCCACCATTCCTGAAGGCAGCAGGATAACACAGGAGACACAGGAAAGGGCATGATTATCTATTTCTATTATCCAATGCCCCACTGTCACTTACCACCACCACCACCACCTGCTCTGGTACCTTTTCTAAGCAGACAGAAGAGCGCATTGAATTGAAGTGATAGATACTATACAGCAGCCTTTCCAGATGTTTTGGACCTCAGCTCTATCCTGCATGGCCAGTGCTCAGAAATGCTAGGAACTGTGGTTCAAAACATCTGGAAGGCACCACATTGGGAAAGGCTTCCATTCAATGTTGAATCATGCAACTACTGTTAATGTAGTAATATTGAAATCATTCTTATAATGTTGTTTAAAAATTGCAAACTGCCTGGAATATTTCAATGGAAATATCATCTAGCTATCAGAAGAATAAAGAACTTCAGTAAAAATATTACCTAAATAATATGGGTTAATCCATGATGGTTTTGTCTTAAAATCAAATGGTGCCAGTCCATCCAGCATCTGTAGCCTGTGAAGGTGTTTGAAATGTTAGAAGACTTAAGGCTATCCAGACACATAGTATTGATTGCCTACCCCAACCAGATGCCTTCCAGAAGTGTGGAACTACCAACTCCCTTCATGGCTAGTGGCACTGGCTTTGAAAAAACTGCTATTACTACAGCAACAAAAAAAGCAGATGTCGATTTCCCAAATGCTTCCAACAACTTGCTATGATAACAGCACTAATTATTCTACAAATGACATATTAAATATTTCAAGATTTCTTCTTACAGAATCAATATATAGGTCACTCTGCAGATTTGTATATATTCCACAACCTTAGGAAATTTTGTTATGCTTTAAAAATTTGCCAAAAGTGTGAAGCTATATTTTGCAGTTCTATGGGACGGGCGCACAGAGAGGTGCATCCGGTGCTGGCACTTTTTTCATTTCATTTTCCCAGTGTTTTAAATGTTAGTATTATTTTAAATATAATTTATATATTATTTGTGAGGCTGTGTCTTATTTATTCATGTTATTGCCACCCTGAGACACTGTAAAGGGCAGGATACAAAAACTTTGAATGAATGAAATACTATGAGCCTTATACCACGTTTGTATTTGTTTGTTTATTCATGCATGCATTCATTCAGTCACTGTGATTGTCAAGGTCCTCTTACCTGGACACTGTGAAACAAAAACATAGGACCACATAGTACACAGAGTAAAATATGATCACACAGAGTAGTAGATTGAGCAATACAATCTGTAAAAGAAAAAGAAAAAATTACACTCTATTTCTTAACAATGTTCTGCTCTGAGTCACCAAGAAAAATAAGAATTCAGCAAGATTTAAATAAAAAAAGCAAAACAAAACAAGTAATGGAAGACCCTTGTGGTACTCAAGGCAACATACATAGGGGTTCCCAAGAAACTTTTTATGTATCCAGTATTTTAATAGTTATCTTTACTCTTAATTTTATACTGTATTTTATTCCCTATTGCTTCTGTACCTCTGGAAAAATCTGATTGTGGTTGCTGTGGGCTTATTGTCCCCATTTTATTTGGAACTATTGTTTTATTGTTGATTACTCTATATTGCTTAGTTTTTGTTTTATATATGTATTAACTTTGCAAATAGTCCAGAGAGTATTCTGGCTACAGGGTGGCTTAAAATGAAATAAAAAAATGCATAAGTAAATATTAGAAAGGTGTTAGCAAGCTTAACACGTGTAATCAAAATACCCAAAACATAGCAAGTGTTGCCTGTGGATATTTATAGCTTATCAGTATATTAACCATGAGGCAATTTGTTTCTCATTATCACCATAACAGCTAGTCTGCATCTGATAATTTTTATGTTCTCTTTCTACAATTGCAGCATGTTCTAATAAATTCTTCTGCTGGCTAGAATATGAATGCTCTTTCATTCAAAATGAAAAAAAACATATGAATGGATCCAATTTTCTTTTCTTTGGGGGATTTTTTTCTTTTTCTGGATGGGGTTAAAGTAAACACTAGCAAAACAGTAATAGACTTAGATACTAAGCTAAATTCATGCTAGTTTATAGTTGGAGGGTTTCCTATCTTTTTCTTCCCACCAAAGACACTTCTGCTCCCTGAAAACATTCAGCAGGAGGTGTGCTCCTGAACAGCAGTGTGGGATGGAATATGTGGGATGGGAAAGTATCACCATAATCTGTTTTAATTCCAAAAATAAAATTACTTCGATTACAATCTATGTATGTTTAGACAGAAAAGAGTCCTGCAGTTCCCGACATGTCCCAGCCAACCATGTTGGTAACTGGAGGGTTTTTAAATCTGCATTTCATCCTTAATGCAGTTCATTGAAGGAGTGTCCCATTTTCTTAAGTTAACTCATCTTAGGATCCAAAGAAGCTGTCAACTAAGAATAATATTTAATCTTATGGGGCCTCAAAAACAAATTGATTTATGATTTTGTAGCCAAACCAAATATGCCTGTTTTTGCTAGAGACACACTTGCCAGTATGTTTATAACAGGGCTGGGGAACTCCACGCCATGAACCCATGGAAATTCCCACCAGGCCTATGGGTTCTTTGCAGCCCTGGTGCCAGGAAGCTGCCCAGGTCCTCAGGGAGGAAGCATTCGTTATCTTCAATTAACAATTGGTGGTAACAGGGAGATTTCCCTTAAAACATCAGTCCCCCTCCCACCACCACTGTTCAGGTTGGCAAATGAGTGTCATGCCTTCAACTTCTCCAAGAATAGTAAGGTGTTATTGATTCACCATTTTAGAGAGCGGCTTTCCTCCCTGGTCTTGGGTACCTTGGCTGTCACTGGAACATCTCTTGCAAAGGGGTACCCTGCTTCTCTGTGGGCCCGATGCAAAAGGTCCATTCCCTCTCTAGGTCCAGGGGCTTGTAGGCCTCCTTCACCTGCCATGAAAATGACCATTTCACTAATATAAAATAACTGTCAGCACTCTTGTTTCATTTCAACTGTAGCTATTTTAGTTAGTACACTGTTTTGTGCTCTCTCCCCCTCTCTCCCTCCCTCTCTCTTCTTTTAAGAGCTAATGCTCATGTTATGTTGCATATCCTAAACAAATAAGACTTCCTTGCATAATTTCTAATGCCTGTTTAATGTAAACTCACGACTACATTTACTTCTTGCTATTGTCTAATTTGTTTTGGCTAAGCTACTGACAAGATATACTATACTATATTGTTATGGCTGCTGGCTGGGCCAGAACAACTGCACTGTTTCTTCCCCATCTAATGGGAGTGAATAAGAAATAGTTGGAAATCCCTCTTGAGTATTTTCTTTGGGAGGCTATTTGAAAAGTAATACACATTCCCTCTCCCCTCATACATGTCTGAATGAAGAAACAGAGAGGAGGAGGGAGTGGGAAAGGGAAGGCACACATTGGGACTAAGAAGAAGAAAGCTTCCATTGATTCCTTTAAAGACAGCTCAGCAACTGCAAAATGCAGCCACTCTTGCACTGGGAGAGGCAAAGAGGTTGGCTCATATAAGCCCTCTGCTAGATCTCCTGCTCTAACTGCCAGTGTATTAGGGCAGCCACCTTAAAGCATTGTCATTGAACTTAACAGCCCTGAACAGCTTTGGTCCAGGTTTCTTGAGGGGGCGCCTCCATCCCGCCCTGTCCTCAACCATTGAGGTTTTCACTTTTTCTTTCATTTCCAAGACTAGTCAGAGCTGCCCATTCCAAGGTGGAAATCCTTGTTCACCTTCCTCCCAGCCACTGAAGAAAGGTTCATGGCAGCGCCTCTTTTGAGGTTAACACCATGATGTCAGATAAAGGCAGGGATGTGTAGCAGTGGATGTGGAGGGGAAGGAGGGGGAAAAGCCAGGGTTCTCCCTCTTGTGTGGCCTGTCCAGCCTTGGTTTGTCCCCATGGGCTCAACTCCACCAGGCAGCCTCTGTGGCTACATAGTGGAAGCATTTGTAAAGGAGGACAGAGGGCTGAAAACCATCTCCATTTCTCTTTCTGTCCTCCTGACATCTGTCCGCAGAACACAGCAATCTCAGAAACCTCTAAGACTGGAGACTTCCCTCTCATGGGTAGCAACTTGATAGGATTACACTGGTAGAATCTGCCTTCAGAATGAAGGTCTCCAAGTGAGAATAGCGGCTTGAGGATGCTGTTTGCACACATGCCGACATCTTGAAGCATTTGCACTGATCACTTGGAGAGGCTTAACTTTTTCTGTTTTCCATATCTAATACTGGAGTAGCTCCCAGTCCACAGGTCTTACAGCAGCAGCTATGTGCTCAGCTGTGAAACTGAGGCTTTGTGGTGACAGAGACAGAAAGTAGAATAAGTTTAGGATCCAAGGGCAAGCTGAAAACATTTGAAAAACACTGAATTGGGACAAACATGCTAATCTTAAGCAAATTTCAGCAATGGAATAAAGAAAGAAGTTTGTATATACTCCATCTGAGTTCCTTTCTTTATCAGATATATAGAGGTCAGACTAGATAATCATTACATGATTTACAACTATGTGATTCCATCTTTACAGCAGCACTGTTTGGTTGACCCATTTGCTCTAATAAACAACCCACAATTTGCTAAAACTATACCAGCTCCTGACTGCTTAATGTCTTCCAATGTGCTAAACAATCCAGGGACACTCCGACCAGGGACTGTTTCCCATAATGTGCAGACCTTGAACTTTAGTTGTTGAGGAAGAAATAACCCAGAGTTACAATCCCAGAAGAATTCATGGGATATTTTTAAGTCTGGGTTGTTTTCTTTTCAACATTACTGCACATCTTGGAGAATAACTCAAAGATGGGGAGTCCCTGACTTGACCAAATGGAACGAGGCAAGGAGTTGACAGTGCACCAGAAACACACTGCTTGATCTGCTGCACTCCCAACAACACGTGATTGACAAACCATGGCTCGCTTAATTTTGTGCACTTGTACAGTGTGTGAACACACATAACTATCTACCAAATTGTTGCCTACGTATAACTACTAAATAAGCTGGTTCTGGTTTTCATAATGGTGAAGATAATTCTGCCATTCTTCAGCCTTTCTGGACTTTTGATCTAGTGTAAAAATATGGTGAGGTTTTTCTCATTAATTGGCAGGACAGCACAAATCATGTGCTTAATTAGGAGGTACACAAGTCAGAGAAAATGACCACTTGGTAAAGTAAAAGGATGTTTCCTTGTATGGCTCCAATGACTCAGTTGTATGTTAGAGGTGCAATCCTATGCAAGATTAGAAAGCAAACATCCTCCAATTCCCTGCAAAGTCCATCCTGCTGGATTGTTCCCTAAATGGCCAAGGGAGAAGATGAACCAAGGCCACCGGCCCCAAATTGAGTAACTTTCTTCCCTTTGACTTCATATTATGTTATATACACTTCATCAAGAAAAAGGTGTAAGATTTTTGTTGACATGACACCAAAAATGTTACAGCTACTTGGAGAACATCCTTTTTGAAATTGTGTGTGTGTGTTGGGAGGGACGGAATGTAAAGGATTAAACAAGAAAACTCTGTCAAGAAGCTATACAGGCTCAGTGCCAATCATACTGGTCCCAATCCAAGACTTACGCACAAGAGGATGGGCTAACCTATGAAGCCATTCTTCATTCTTTCCCTGCTACCAGATTTAAATGTTTGTGTTAAGGGAATGTTGAGCCTTTTTTAACAAGTGAGCTTTCTTTAGAAATTAAAACTCTCTCACACACATACAGAACTCAAACCACTTACTCTGGAGCTTTCCTGTGGAAATTGCTAGGAGGACATCTGTATAGTTTCTGGACAGAATGAAACTAGCTAATGTTGTATAGGCTATTAGAAAACATTTCTAAGGTACTTTTCAACTTTGTGACATTACATATTTAGAGAATCCTCTTTGTGATTGACACTTGCCATCGCCCTTATTATTTCAACACTTTAAATGATTTCCCATGAGCACCACTCATTTTTAATTTGGATTTTTCAGGAGCCAACATAATGACAGACCTAAACAAAACAGCCTCTTGGAATCAAGGCAATGCTTCATACATATACTTGCCAGATGTCACATACAGTAATGCTATGCATTGACCTTGAGTTCAGCACCGGCTTGATTTTCTTTACCTTAGTCTCAGCAGTTTTGATCTTGAGAGCCATATACACATGATGAGCAAAAGCACAGCGATGCAGTTACATTTCTGATATCAGTTTCCACTGGAAGAAGTCACTGTTTTTCACTCACAAAGCACTACCAAGCAAGCACTGAAAGACAGAGCAAGCTAGTATTATTGGATTAAACTGGGGCAAAAGCCATCTGTGAGCCAACTCTAAGCTGCTGAAGTCCAACCTGAAAATCCTTAGCAGCTCATTAAATGTCCAAACTGCTTTGGGACATGCTCAGCTAAAATACATCTTGCTCGCTTTGCTCTTAAGAGATTGCACAGGGCCAGTATTTTCAATTTTTCATTTTCTCTATAACTGCAGTCTTTGATATTGGTTCACAGAGGCTACACTACTCTCCCAGTGCCAATGACTTTTGCAAATAATAAAATCCATTTAATAACCGCATTTACCATATAGATAGATGGCTGGCTGGCTGGCTGGGGCAGACCATTGATCAATCTATCCCGGTAGTGCCCATATTGATGGGCAGTGGATCTGCAAAGCCTCAAATAAAGGTCCTTTGCAGACTGGATATAGCAACTCTTTTTAAAAAGGAAGAACTAGAGCACGGGAACCCTACATATAAATAATTCTAGCGTCTACCTCTGAGCTATGGTACCTCCCTGTGGCCATAGCTGGAAGTACATCAGAATTATCCTTTTTCATTTAAAGTCTTCTAGAAACAAATGGTTATTAAATAGCAGGTAAAAGTCATGTGTAGATCAGAAATGCAGGTATTGTTGCCTTGTTTAAGCACACAAGTAATGTTATTTATATATTTGCAAAATGTTAGCCATTAGTCTGGCATTATACTACATACCCATCCAAACTGGAAAAAAGCCTCCTGATCCATTCCTAGCATCCTTTTGCTTCTCAGTGGTTCTTCAATGGATGTAAATTCTAACAAACCAATGAGGGGAAGCAATCCATTAGCAATCCATTATGAACAGGGGCTCATATTAACTTACTGCCCCCCCCCCCAAATCTTGATACAGAAAATTATTTTATTTATAATCGCCTTTGGAAATGGAAGTGTCTGCTGGTTTGACCAAAGGCCTAGTGGATTTATTGTTTTCCTAAGGATTTTCCCATGATCACATATTTGTACAATAAATGGGCATTACATCTTCTTTACTACAAATCTAAGTATTCAGATTCAGCAAAGGAGTACAAGACGGTTTCCCCACTGCTGGCTCCAGGTTCTGGAGGGCCCTTAGGCAAGAGGCCCTCCAGCAGACCCCTCCCTCAGGAAGTCTCCCTTCTCCTCAGCATTGCCACCAGCTGTTCTTGCTCCTCGCCCTCTCGCTCAGCGTTGTGAGCAGGTATATCGCACTGCTGCTTCCTACCACTTCCATTTCCCAGGCTAATAGAAGAGGCAGGTGAACAAAAGGTTGCAATGGTGAAGAGGATGGCCAATTCCAGGGGGCTCTTGTCAGCAGCCCACTGCCAGGATGTGAACCATAAGCAGGTGCCCAGTTGTGGCCAGATGTTTATTTATTTATTTAAAACATTTTTATGCCGCCCCCATCGCAACAAAGCCTCGGGGCGGCTCACAATAAGACCAAAATATAACAAATTGTACAATAAAAATATTAAAACCCGGTGCATCTCGGCTTTAAAGATTTAAAATCCTATAAATAACCAATACATTAACAATTAAAATAAGTTTTAAATAAAAAGGTCTTAGCCTGGCGCCGAAAAACAAATAATGACGGCGCCAGGCGGACCTCTCTGGGGAGCGCATTCCATAGATGGGGCGCCACTGCAGCGAAGGCCCTCCTCCGGGTACTCACCCTCCTTATATCATTCACAGAGGGTTCCCGGAGAAGGGCCTCTACCACCGATCTCAGGGGGCGGGAGGGCATATATGGACGCAAGTGCTCCTTTAGATAACCAGGTCCCAAGCTGTTGAGGGCTTTGTAGGTGATAACCAACACCTTGAATTGGGCCCGGACTTCAATCGGGAGCCAGTGGAGCCGACGGAGAACTGGGGTTATATGAGAACAACGCCCAGTCCCCGTCAGCAACCTGGCAGCTCTATTCTGCACCAATTGAAGTATCCGGACCATCTTCAAGGGTAGCCCCACGTAGAGCGCATTGCAGAAATCTAATCGGGAAGATACCAACGCCTGTGTCACTGTCGCCAGGCAGTCGTTCTCCAGGAAGGGACGCAGCTGATGGATCAGTCGAAGCTGAAGGAAGGCGCTCCTCGCCACCACCGTCACCTGAGCTTCTGGAGACAGCTCAGGGTCGAGGAGCACTCCTAAGCTGCGAACACTGTCCCTGTGTGGATGCTGTGTTATTGGTCGGTTGGTCCCCTACCCACCCACCTTCATGCAAGTGACTAATGCAAGATGAGTCCTGGCATCTATTCCTCATATCCAGCATCGGCATGTCTTCACAGGGCAGGGAGGAAGGAAAACATTGGTTGACCCAGGCAGGAGTCAGGCTATTAGTCTATGCAGCACTCCTCCTGACTGACTCTAGTGAGCCTGGGTTGGGGGGATTTCAGCCAGAGACGTTCATCATGCAACACATAAGTCATTCCGTCCAGCCAGGTCTTCCTCCGGAAACTCAGTGCTCCTATTGTTTATGACTATGGCTGGGCCAGAGAGCAGGGAAGACAGCTCCCCTATAATGTGCCTGATTGCTGTCTCCTGCTATGGTTTGAAGCTTCAGGAATTCCTTGCCTTCTGTCCATGATATAGCCATGTTGCTGCTGTTGTTTCTCCTGCCATACAAAAGCTAAGTGGGTGCATATGCCTCAAGTGAAGCTAGAACTTCTTGCCTCCTGCTTCCTGGGCATATGCACTGCGATGCTGGAGGTTGCTGTTCAAAGCGATGCACAGCTTTGGAGCATCTGCTGTGTCCCCAGCCCCATGCTTTGGCTGTCTGGCAAAGGAGGGGTTCCCCTGTGTGGGTCTGAGCCCTTGGCCCAGGAGGGCTCTGTGTCCTTGTCCTTCCCAGGTAGTTATGCAAGCACTATGCTGTGCATCGCTTTTCTTCCTCCTCTTTCGCGTGTTGTACTTTACAGCAGTGATCAGGAGGACAGTCAGTCAAGTCAGTCGCCTGCCACCGGAGATGCCCGGCAATTTGCAATAGTGGGATTGCTGCCGACAACACCACTGTGCTGGTGCTTTGGGGTGTTGTGGCGTCGTTGTGCATATAGTTATGTGATGATGCAGGGGTTTCTGCTGAGGTTGTCAGTTTGTTTCCTTCTATGGGTGGACAGCATGCGGGCAATGATTTCCATGGACATTTTACCAGTCATTTTTATTACTGTTTTGTATTTTCTAGTTGTATGCCTTTCTCCTTTTCTCCTGGGAAGAGCATAAATACTTGTTTTGTTAGGATGCATTTCTCCCCTACCTCCGGTGTAATAGTACAATCCTGCTTTGTAAATTACATCCTCATTTCTAATTTGGTGCTGCATGATCTGTAGCACTGGGTGCCAAAAATCCTGGGTCTAAATTTTGAATTTTTCTGTCAGTTATTCTGTTCTCTAAATCTTCCTGGTTTGTGTGTGTCCATAGAGAGAGAAAGAAAATGCCTTGCTGTTGAAATGAGGTAATGTGTTTATTCCAGCACTATCCCTCATAACCGAGCAATTTCTTCTTAAAGGAATTAAGTGTTAAGATCTAAAGAATCATTTCCTAGTCAAATGTATCTGCAGTTTCTGGAGATCCACTGCCCCGCACCAAAATCAGAGCCCTCCTCCCCTGCCAACTCATCCTTAAATTTCATAAAACAAATCATATCAACTTTTGTTATCAGTCATAATCAAATTTGGGACTAGATAAAGAATGATACATGCATCATAATACACAGATTCTTTCATCATGCTCCTGCCCATGTTATCCTCATGCATGTGAAATTTTCCTTTTTCTTTTCAACTTCTAGTCAGCCTTTGTTCATATATGTTCTGTTAGGTTAGCTGCTGATTGCTATTTGGAATGCTTTCCATATTGATTAAAATCAATTGCCTTCGAAGTCTTTAGAATTAATGATTATGGAACAAACTCCCAGGAAACCTTAGAGAGCTTAGAGAGGCAGAACAAATACAGCTATTTTCGGATGTAATCCAAAACCTGAGTATTTTGAAGTAACACTATTGATTTTGGTGGAACAACTTCAAGACTGACAGAGGATTATATTCTTTAAGTTTCTGAATTTAAATTAAAGAGCCCAAATTATTGTTATTGTTGTTTTGACAGCTTCTGAGTTATTTCAAAATGCTTTGGGATCCTAGTGAATTTGCTATGCAAAGAATGACTTGTTATATAAAATTATATGAAAACTTTGCATAGGTTATTCTTGTTGTAGCTAATATTGTAAGGTTCAGATGTCTCTTCAGGTACATGGCGTCTGATTCAGTTCTGCTCTGAGAGATGAGCTCTGAACAAAGACCTCTTCCTTTCCTCTTTTTCCATTATATGACCTCTAGTTGGACCCTTATTACACTAGAATACTTTCAGAAAGGATATCTTATTTTCCCTATTCTTTTTTTAAAGTGTAAGTACTTTGAAAAAACAGAAGTGAAACTGGAGAATAATGTTGTCTAAAGAACACATAAACATCCATCAGCAAAGAATAATAAATGCACAGGAAAGGCCACATGTAGAAAAGGTATCATTAGAAAGAGTGGAAATAGTACAAAATAACAAGTTGATTCATTTGGTACACAGCTTATATCTGTTAAATAGCAACTTCACAGAAACTGTTTGACTTTAGCAAAGCTTTCAACATAGCACCCCACAACAAGCTGATAAGCAAATTAGCAAAAAGTGGTCTAGATTAAAAAAAGAACTGCTAGATGGATCCAAAATTGGCTACTATATCAGACACAAAGAGTGCTTACCAATGGCACCTTCTCAAACTGAAGGAAGGTAACTAGTGGGGTGCCACAGGGTTCAGAGGTAGGCCCAGGGTTCTTCAACATTTTTATTCATAATTTAGATAAGGAGGTACAAGGAACAATGATCAAATTTGCAGAT